TGCACGAGACAATGACAGAGTTGGGGTGAGAGAAATGGTGCCCTCGCCAGTAATTGGAGAAGGCAAACCATTAGCACTAGTTATGTATGGGTCACAGGTGTTACTAGACAACTCATCAAAAAATTTAGCATTATAAGTCATATGATTAGAAGCACCAGTGTCAATTATCCAAGTATTAGAGCCAGTACCTGGAATAGAGTCAGAAACACACAAATTTGCAGAAGCAGCAGCAGCACCAACAATGGAATTATCACCCATGATTGTAGCAGAAACTCAACAAATCACGCAGGGTATACAATAGATCACAACACAGACACAAATATGGCAGATGCACGAAGACAACAGAGGCACAAACACAGTAGAGGTAGATGCACGAACACAGTATAGGCACGCAGTAAAGGCACGAACACGACAAAGCACAAGGCACGAACACAGTAGAGACACAAACACGACAGAGCACACAGCGGAACACGGCAAAGGCACAGACACAAGAACCCTAAAAGAAATTAGGGCACACAGTAGAACACGGGTGGGCACAACACACACAGGTCACCAGAAACCTGGCTCTGATACCAAGTCAAACAATATGGGTAGAATATTTTCAGATATATTTCATTCTCCGAAAGGAGGTATTTATAATACAGGTTACAAACCCTAGTAGGATTTAATTAGGAAATAAGTGGAATCCTAATTACATAATATCTATACAAAAGGAAAAATAAATAAAACCCAAATAGAATAGGATATATTCTACTCGCCAACAATTTGGAGACGAGAGAACCATCGGGTGCCAAGCAGTGGCGCTCCAGCTGATCAATGACTTGGGTCAAATCCAGTGGCAGGTTTTGCCCTTGTTGTTGAAGTCCCTTCACCATTATGTTAAGCTCCTCTTCGCCCCCACTCGATCCAAAACGTCGCCGTATTCCTTCTTCTTCTTCTTCTTCCTTCTTAAAGATTAAGCTCAGCAGTCAGACTCTTACAGGAATTTGAAATCTCGGGCCGGCCAACCTTTCTTCAACTGCCAGCAAAAGTTAATTCAACTTGATTTTACCAAAACAGCCTCATCTTCGTCCATCTATACGGTGTCGTTTCACTTTAAATGTAAGACAGAAAGCGAAAACAATCACATCAATTCAATTAAATTCTTTTTGTAATGGGAAGATGATGCAGATCTAGGGGAATTTTGAGATGGTATTTTTATGAAATATTTGGTTGTAAAGTATGTGCGCTGTATTGCAAATCAGTAAACTACGTACATATTGTTTTTGTGATGTATATATTCAAAAGTTGTACAAAAAAGTGATTTTAAAAGAAATTAATTATTTCTTGGTACTTGTATTTATTTTTATTATTACTTTTTTTTTTCCTTAAAAAAGAAGTTGGCATGTTAGCCACAGCTGGGAAATAAAAATGAATTATTTTCGTATTGTTAAAGAGCTTTATGAGCAACACCACGTAAGAAATACAATGACGTGATTTATGCCTTATTCGTGGCTCATTTTGGCCACGGGTACACTCTGACTTTTGTTATCATTACTAGTCTAATATCAATTGTGGCCCTATTTACAGCTTTATAGTAGTGATTACACAATCAATGCGGGAAAATATTATCTTCATCAAGTTAATTTGGAGAAGAGATGGACAATACAAAATTTATGAAATCAAATCTTTAAAATGTTCAAGGTGCTTACGTGGGTAAGAACATTGTTTTCTATGTCCGGATAGGTAACATGGTAACATGGTAATAACGATATCTTAGTCATATGAAGAATGTTTTGCAACCCAAATCTTTTGTCAATTCTCATGGAAATTGATGTATCTTATTATGATTTGGGTGAGATGGGGGCAAAAGCTCAGAACAGAAACCAAAGAGAGAAGGAGAGAAGGAGAGTCCAAAATATGCAAGCTTTAAGTTTAAACATTGTAACTAATTCAAAGGCTGATTCAAAGGATCTAGCTTTAAATGAGATGAGGTCAATTAGATATTTTTAACTTCGTCTTTACATACTGATTCTAAGTTTATTCTTTATTCAGAAATCTATACAGAAAAAAAATTGTGGATTAGCTGCAAAGAGCTTCAACAATTGATTTCCCTCAACTCACTGCATCATAATCATTTTATCTAGACTACCCTAGCAGACATTCATGAGTCACGTTCCACAACCGCATGACGAGGATACTTCCTACGATGAATTCGAACTTTAGTTTCCAGAACTTCATGTTGTGTGTGCCATAGCTTCTTAATTCCTTTCTTTCTGTTCTGCAATCAAGTCTATGAATCAGAAGCCAGAGTTTTCTTCAACTCTTTTTTATTCACCTGCAATCAGATGTGCAATGTAAATACACCTTACAAGTTTATGCGATGTAAATACAAATAAATAAACAATGCTTTTGTAGCTTAGCAAATAAGGAAATGTAAAAGTAACTTGCCTTTCCCATCGCATTCCGAGGTAGTGAATCCCACAGAAGCAGTCGTGTCGGTATCTGGAAAAATGTAATGCAGTTATTTGTAGTGCTCATTTGAGAATATAGTTGTGGTGTTTGAAAAATGTGATGATGATTTGGAAGTTATTATTCATGAGAACAGAATGTTTATAACTTGATAACTGAAGAGGACTGATAATAAAAACTCCAGAGGAAGAGAAAAAGTGAATGATGGTCAGTAATACCTTGTATGGTGCAAGTTTGTCTTTTGCCCAAGCAGATAGATCCTCCAAGCTTATAGCAGGTCTCAGTTCTTCCTTTTGTTTCCTCTTCGCTTCAACCTCTGGCACAATTATTGCACAAACAATTTCTCCATAGTTTTCGTCTGGCAAGCCCAACACACAACACTCCTCCACAGCTGGGTGCTACATAAAAGGGGTGATTTTAGTTAGAAAATTCAATCGTTCATTGAGCACTTCAATTTTTCATTTTTCTTTATAAGACCTACAAAGAAAAAGAACAAAATCATAGCGTATCCATGAGAAAACTGGAATAGAGGTCAAAAATCCACCTGTAAAATAACTGATTCGATTTCTAATGCAGATAACTTGTATCCACCAACCTTCATAATATCAGCACTAGTACCTGATACATGTCATCAAAAAATACGGAAGAAGAAAGAAGAATTCATTCTCAGTTAGACGTCCTTTAAGTATCTGCTTTGCTAACCAGAAGCATCAAAATCTGAGACTGGTAAAAAACAAACTTGAAGGAATGCATCAATAAGAGTATCATGCACATGAGTTCTAGGTATCCTTACGTCCCAATATGATGTAGTACCCATCTTCGTCCACTGTACCAGCATCTCCAGTTTTGAAGAACCCATCACTTGTAAATGATTCCTTGGTTACCTAGACAATGACCACAATGTCGTAAGAGTAATTTGTTGATATTCTTCAGAATTTCATTATGCCATATACGTAAAATGTAGAATTTCATTACTCCATGTTCCATTCTTCAATTAAAAGAAAAGCACTCCTCACAAACATAAATGCAGGTGTGTGCGTGTGTATGTGTGGTTTGTTATCGCAGGTGCAATCAAATTTCTGAAATCAGAAATTACCTCAGGAAGTTTCCAATATTCCTTGAATACTGAAGGGCTTCTGATACAAAGCTCTCCCACGCCTGTACTATCACTTCCACTGTCATCTTCTGCAACAATCCTTACCTATAACAAATACAGATCTTATAAACATACATATATAGATACTAATTTTGTAGTTACTTTTTATTGAGAAAAACACTCCCATGTCAATTATGAGACACATCACCAGTAAAGTACACCAGCTTCCTAACTCTACAATTTATAAGCTGTTTCAAGGACCAGAATATAGTCTTTGTCAATTAGCATCTAAAACATGCATGCACTAAATGTCTTAAGATTTTGCTATTTTAAGTGGTTCCCTTCAGCATCAGGGCTAATTATTAAAATCTGCATGTGAAAAGCTTCCTTCATAAGTTTCTTATGGTAAAATTGCTGCCGTAAGTATATTTCATAACCTGTAGCCCACTTACCTCCACACCTGGAAATGGTTTTCCAACCGTGCCTGCCTTCCGCTCACCTATTAAGGGGTTTGATATTGCCATGACAAACTAAAAACATCAAAAACCATATATATGATAAGAAACTTTATTTTTTGGATACATGCACTCTCTTCATAGAGTGAGAATACTAGTTCAAAGTAATTTAAACTAAATATCACTTACCTCTGTCATGCCATATAGTTCCAAAAGACGATGTCCTGCGATGGATTCCCATTTATGCATTACAGGTTGAGGGAGTGCAGAGGAACCACACATCTGGGAGAAAGAAATAAGTTTCATAGTCATGGGTATAGGATTCACCATAGACTTTAATATAGAGGAATGTAAAGGCCAATTTTCATGATAACATTGGGTGGTTCTCCGCAGGAGCTAATTAACTTAGCTGATAATGTATCCTGATGTTATCTGAAAAGACCTGGGATAAAATCCCACATTCATGGTGTCCTTTTTTGTTGCCTTACCTTTCATGTAAACCAGAAGAACGGAGAAAGTTCCACTACCACCAAGGATGCTGTGGTAATGGAAAGAGAGCCTACAAACTTGTGTAGATACAAATACTCTCACAATTATCATTCCCATATTAGTACCTTACAATTAATTTTCAGACAGTATTTAAAGAGTAAATTTTTACATGTATTTCCGATAAAGATCCAATAATCAAACAAAGGCATCTTACTTCCTGTTTACAATATAGATGCAAAACCATTATTGGGGAAAGAAAAAGCTTTCAGGCTACTTACCATAAGACCCAACTGTCTTGCAGCATAGGCAGAGGCAGATTTTAGCTCTGGATCCATTGCTTCATGAGCTTGTATCAATCGAGTATACATGGTCGGAACCTACACAAATACAAGCTACTTAACTTGCAGTCTAACTAAATTAAGATAAGTATTTCCATCTAAAATCAGTACAATGAGAGATGCAGTAGATGCATAGCATGTTTAACCTTCAATTCACGTATTGAAGATTATAAAACCAAAAAATCAACAAACAAGCAGGAGATACCTGCTTTTTAGAATATGGCACTTTCCCAAGAATTTGTATTCTAGTGCAATTATAATATGTTATAACTTACAATAGATTTTCATATTAGCAAAAACATCCCTCACATACAGAGTAGACTTACTCCTGTAAACACAGTTATGCCATCAGCTGCCTTAGTTCCATTTATTGGATACGATTCACGCCATCTCTGCCAAATACCCTCACGCTAAATTTTGGCATAAACTAAACCTTCAACAACATAAACAGAAGAAATTAAATTACAATAAGTAGCTGAGCAAGACTCATGCAGCCAAACAAAGCCGTTCCAGGGAAAAACAATGGTGAAAGCCTTCAGTTGTCAAGGCAACCAAGGAAAACAGAAAAAGGAGAGTATATTACCATGGAACCTGCATAGAGTGGGGCAAGTACAGCATTGAAAAGCCCATGAACATGTATGTTATAGGTTAAGGATAACATGTTTCAATCAATCATCAAAGCCATAAACCAACAAGGATAAATTTCAGTGTGCGACTTAGAATTTCCAATCAAGTTTCTAACAGAAAAGGAAGACACAGAAGACATCAACTAAACGTAAGCTGAGACTGCATATGGAAACAGTACAATTTGCAAGCAAGTACATAAAAGTAGAAGGATATGATGTAGTGGTAGACAATTCAAGAACTGATCAGCATATGTATACTCCCAAGCTTCTGCCAAGGTTTGGACCTGAAATTGAGTCAACATCAGGACAAAAGTCAACCATAGTTAACTTGGAATAGAGACGCTAGAGTCAAGGAAAATAGTGCATGACCTACAAGAATACCTCCATTACATGACTTATAATGTTAAAACGCATAAAAGTGAAATGATAAATGAACACCAAGAGATGTTTTTTTTCCTTTGCAAAACAAATCCGTGGACAAGTAGCCCACATGAAAAGAGATGCATTGCAGAGCTAACATCAAAGAAGACTTCTTAGAAGAAATAGCCAAACTTGACAAACAAACCCCTAAACTACAGATGCCTACTAATCAAGAGAAAATGTTTCTAAAACAGTGATCCAGTATATAAAAATTATATTACATCATCTGTTGTCCATTATAATGAAGACCCTTATTGTGACATGTGTATCCTACACCTCACCTGAAACTATTTTAGTGGTAGAACGAAATATAGCTAAATCTTTGCTTGCAAGAATAGATGGGGAACATACCTGTGCACTGATACTTTTGTGCGTGTGCACAACTCC